AAGAGCCCAGAGGTGCTTGGATCGGCACGGACAAGTCTGCTGCAACAGAGAGGCCCAATCTCAATACTCACTCTGCGCCCTTCGGACTTCAGCAAAGTGCACTTAGAGAAAGTGCGCAGTAGGGTTCGAGTCCGTAGCACACAAGTGTGCAGATGATTGCAGAATTGAGACAGGGAGCGTTGCGTCATGAATCGCAACTCATGCCGGGATGCTGGTTGCTGTGATACTTTTTTCAAAAACATTTATTAACAATTTCTAAACAAACAGCCAAACTGTTATTTGAAATAAATTGACATTTAGGGTTAGGGTTAAGTTTTCATAAATTAAATTTCTTAATACATTTTACTCATACATTTGAAGTTTATTAAATTAAAATTGCTCATCCAATCAACTCAAAATATTGTATGTGACTGGTGGTTATCTATCAGCTTGTGTTTGGGGCTTTTTTGTTTGGCTTTCTGGGTTTATTGTTGCTTCTATCAGCTGCAGGCAGCAGTTTTCAGCAAAATAAGAAATAAAACTAATCAAAGATGTATGTCTCAGCCGGTGGAAAAAGGAATCAAGTTTGTATAGACTAGTATTTTCCTCCAAGCCCTGATCTGATGTGTCCAAATGTTCCAACAACTCTGCAAGTGCATCTTTGTCATGTGACTTTTTGGACAAAGCCAAATAACACAACTCTCTTCCTAGGTGTGTCAGATTGTACAAGAACACACATTTCTTTCCTGATTTTTGCGTCTCTCACACACAAAAATGACACAAAAATCAAGTTATTAATGGAGCCATAAAATTAGAAATCGTGATGCACCCAGCAAGAGACCTAAAAATTTCTTTTTCCTGCCGTCACTGCTTTGTAGCTTGCTGCTGGGCCACTTTCTGTCATGTAGCACGTGCCAAATATTGCGTAATCATAGCAGCTCTGTCTGTGACACTCCTGTCATGCACCAATAGGACAATTAATAAACATTTGCATAGTAAAAAGCGAGGATTGAAGCCCCAGAAGTCATTGCTTTAGATAGAGGAAGCCATTGTTTCTTTTCTCTGAAATGAGCTGAAGAGACGATGGAAACGGTGGAGAAAAAGCTTATTGAGAGGAACGAGGACCAGGTTTTTCTGCATGAGGAGGTGGAGGAAGTCTTCAGGACGGCGGTGTTGCCATCTCACAGAGCCGCACGCTAAGCTGCTTATTTGTTGTGTTTCTTTAGATTCATGTGCAAACCGTCCAGCAGCAGCTCAGGGATCATTTTTTCTCCCACTTTGAAGTTTTTCTATTTAAAACATCTCCAGGTTTGTATCTGTCTACATGTCTTTGATGATTGAAGAATGAAAAAACAAGGAGCTTTGTGATGTTCGTCAAAGCTGCTCGGCCTTTCCGACGGGAGGCAAAAACCTGTGAGCCGAAACAAGTGATTAAAATTTGTTTCCACGCTGCAAATCAAATAATTTTTTTCTTTTGTTCAGAAAAGCTTTGTGTCATTACTCATGAAGGAATTTAACTCCTTATTTGCCTAATTGACTAATTTGAATAATAATGAAAGAGTAAAAAAAAAACTAGATGTTCTTTTTGCAGAATCATCTGAACTTTTGGGGCTTTTTGTGGTAAAAGCTCAGAAAAAAGCCCAAAATCTGAGTTTTCCCATCAGATCATCAATCATTTATATGACCTAATCTGTTTATTATCTGATAGCAGCATGAACAGAAGTGCCGATTATTAGCTCATGTCACCCATTCACCTGTTTACTAGAAATGTAGAAATTAGTTTAATTTTGGCATGACATTTCCCCAGATATTTCCATCTGTTTGGGACACGCTGCTACCAGGTTCTTGACGAATACACACCGACGTAGCCATATTACCCCTGTCCTGGAACATCTTCACTGGCTCCCTGTCATTTTCAGAGTGCAGTTTAAGTTACTGACCTTTGCATTTAAAGCTCTCAATGACCTGGCACCTCCCTATCTCTCTGACCTAATCACTCCATATGTGCCCACGCGCACGTTGAGGTCGGCTGACCATTTGCTACTGTGCACGTCGCGGATGCTATTCAAATCACAGGGTGAACGAGCATTTGTGCACGCTGCCCCAAAGCTATGGAACTCATTGCCCATTGGAGTTCGGCAGGCTCCATCTCTGGCGGTTTTTAAATCTCGTTTTAATGACCCACTTTTACGCTTTGGCTTTTAGACAGTGACTCGTTTGAGTGTTTTATTGTATCATTGTTTTAATGTGTTCTTAGTATTCATCATGTTTTATCTGCTTTTGATTGGGATTTTTATCCTGTTTTAGTTCTTTCGAATGGTTGTGTTTTGTTTTAGCCTGTGCAGCACTTTGGGCAGCTCCCATGCTGCGTTTTAAATATGCTATTTAAATAATCTATGCTATGCTATGCTAACTATGCTGGGTTTATTTTAAGTTAAAGTAATGTTTATCTCTTAAAAATATAAATAAAATCTACGTACCAGATTTTATGAAATATAAATTATATTTAATTATATTGTGCAGCAGTACCGGGACCAGAGTGAATAGGGTGTGTATGGGGAGCATGAGTGGGTGTCTGGCGTGCATTTTTGTGAGTCTTTGGTTGTATGTGTATGTATGTGCATGAGGGAGGGAGTGTGTGACTGTGTTTGTGTATGACTGTATTTGTCAGGTGGGGTCTTTGACTCCTCCCTTCTCCTGGGACTTCTTGTGCTACTACATATCTTCGCCTACTCTCCCCTGCCACACTTAGCGTGGAGTGTGGTGCCTTGGTCTGCCTGAGTGTTCGTGGCTCCCGGGTCAGGGGGTTTAAGATTTTTGGCGTCTGCCTGATTAATCCCGGTGGCTGCCTGGTGGGATCTGGGTCCCTGGGCTCTGTTGGGTCCCCGGCGGGCTGGTCGCCCCTGGGTCCCGGGTCGCTGGATTCCGGGCTAGGCCGGCTTGGGGGTGGGAGGCTGCGGGCGGGCCTGTGGGCTTGCCGCTGATGTCTCCTGGGACTCTGCCGGCTGCTGGTTGTGGCCCCTGCGGCAATCCTCTGCACCTCTCGAGGAAGGCGGAGGCTTTTCTGGTCGAAATCTCCCTGGGGTCCCTGCGCTCTGGGGCAGCTCCTGAATCTCTGGGACTTGGAGCTCCCTCCATTTCCTACACATCTTTGGGGGGCAGATCTGTGGCCCCTCACACTCTCTATTGGACGCTCCTATAGAGAAACCTTACATATACAAGCGCGTGTACACACACAGTTGCTCACATGGTGCTCTCATAAGTATGGACTTGAGCACGTTCAACACATGTCTTAAGGCTGTCGTTGCCACTAAATGCAATGTGATTTATTATCATGTGATTGTTCAGTTAAACAATGTTGATTATATGGGTTAGGGTTAGGGCTTAAGGTTTGTTCTTCTCTTTCTGCAGGTCTAGAAGCAGACTCTTGTTAATCATTGATTGTTTATTTTTGTGGAACGACCCCCCCCCCCCCCAAAAAAAACAAACAATAACAATAAAGTTTTAATTATCAGGCGTGACATTAAAAGCAGAAGCTTTGCTGCTCCACCTGAGAGTATATCTGTAAGGCTTGTCAGACATTAATTCTGTTTGCTTCACAGCCAGACAGGACATGGGAAAAAAAAGTATATATATATATATGTATGTATATATATATATATATATGTATGTATATATATATATATATATATATATATATATATATATATATATATATATATATAATCTACGTACCAGCTTTTATAAATTATAAATTATAGTTAGAGTCTCCACATTTTAGCTTGGCTTTTAACTGATTACTATAACTTTTTTAATTAATTAATCAATCAATTATTTTATGTATACTTTTTTTATACGTGCTATTTTTAAACAGAGTTTGTATATATATATATATATATTATTTTTTGTAACCATAGATTCATGATCAACATTATTTTTATGTCTATATAACTTTTTTAAATTACAATTTTCATTTTAGCTCTTATTATTTTATATTTTAACCCTAATTTAACCTTTTTCCAGTGTTTCCTCTGTGGGAGCCCTGTGCCCTGGGGGCGGTGGTCAGCTGTGGCGGCCTGGGTGTTTTCCAGGTGTGCCTGGGTGGAGGTGGGGGTCTCTGCCCTCCCTGCCCTGGGCACCCTGTGTTGGTGCCACGGCTGCTGCTGTAGATCTGCTGCTGTCGGGGCGGATGGCTCCCCTGATGGCGTCTCCTTATCTTAGTTGGTCTGGCTCATCTAAACCCATTGGTTTTTTTTACATGGTGTGTGTGTGTGTGTGTGTGTGTGTGTGTGTGTGTGTGTGTGTGTGTGTGTGTGTGTGTGTGTGTGTGTGTGTGTGTGTGTGTGTGTGTGTGTGTGTGTGTGTCGGAGGATGAGTAATGTGAAGGGGTTTTTAGTCTCAGACTGTTTTTAAAATTCTGGGGATGGGAGGACATGTGGGTATGCGGGGCCTTTTTAATCCGTTAAGCACTTTGAGTTGCATGCAGTGTATCATTAAGTGCTATATAAATAAAGATTGATTTGATTTGACTGTACCATTTACTAACAAAATCTTAATTTCTTTGGCTTAAAAATCACCTCTCAACTGTAAAGGTTAGCCGTCTGCAACGAATTAGACCGAAATCCTGTTATTTCTTCATCCAACTAGAAATCCAGACTGCTCTGAATCTAAAGCAGCAGCTTCTCAAATCACAAAACACCAAGTGAAGATTGTTGTTTCAACATTAACTTCCTGTTTATTTGGCTCCGCTGCAGTTTCTGTGGCCGCGGTGGTGTGGCAGCGAGTTGAGATGTTGAATGTGAAGACACAGATGAGAGAAGGGGGGTGAACCTGAGAGACTCACAAGCGGTGATGAACACATCACTGCTCTAAATGTCTTATAAGGTTGTTTTGTAGCCTGTGTGGTAATTGGGCGCATCCTTAAAGACCAAGTTCACTTGTTTTTCCATCCTCTAGTTTAAATGAATGCCTTGTGAGTCGATCTGTCAATTATAACTACCGTCTGTCTTTGTTTCTTTCAGGTCTACCAGTACATGCATGAAACAATTACAGTGAACGGCTGTCCGGATTACCAGGCGAGGGCCACGGCTAAGGTAGGGGCTGCCTTACCTTAGCTTCACGCTTCATAGGGCCAACGTCCATATTTAGACACTTCCACCCACATCATAAATTATGTCGTGTGCCTTTTCACAAACTCTTAGAATTACGGGATTTCACCCAAACAATCATCAGAGATCAAGCTAGTCACGGTTTGTGTCATGGCGCCATTCCACCAATCAGTGCAGGGCTATAAGATGCCAAATACTTGTCATGGTCTGCGTCTGTGTCTTCCCCATGTGTCTCCTTATGTCCTCCATCCCTCTTTAGATTCCCCTTTTGTGTCTCATAGCGCCCTCATGTGTCCTTTGTCTGCGTCCATTATGTGTCTTATGTTGGTAGTCGTTTAAGTCAATTCCTCCCAGGTCCTGCGTCATCTCATTCATCCCCAGCCCCTCCAGGTCTCATTTACATTCTGTGTCCTTGTAGTCCCCAGCTTCTTTGTCCCCAGCTCGACGTGTGTGTGTGTGTTTGTGTGTGTCAGTCCCCTGCTCAGTGTTTGTGTGTGGGTGTGTGAGTAGTGTCCTGCTCCGGTTCTGTGTGTGTGTGTGTGTGCTTGTCCATTCCCTATTCCTGTTTATATTAGTGCATTTGTGTGTGTGATGGTGTGTGTGTGTTAGTCCTTCCTGCAGCCTTTAGGTTTAGTTTAGTGTTTTAGAGTTTTTTGGGTTTATTTGGCCCTCCTCTGTTTCTGTTTGCCCATGTTGGTTATTAGATTCACCTGTCTTCCCTCCAGCTCTCACTTCACACACCTGCCGCCATTTTCCCTAATCACTTCTCCCTGTGTATATAAGCCCTGTCTTGTCTGTGTCTGGTGTCGGTTCATTGTTGTTTGTTTGTCAGCGTTGTTTAGTGCTCTGTGTGAGCTTCCGTTCCTGTCCCCAGTTTGATATCCAAGTGAGTTTTGTTTTTCAGCTTTCTGGGTTTTTGGATTTTGGCTCCCTGCCCTCTTGGATTTATTTTTTGTGTTTTACCCCTACAAATAAAAGTATTTTACTTTATATCAACTCCTGCCTTCATGTCATCCTGGGTTACTGCATTTTTGGGTCCAAACCATCCTTTCAACATGAAAATACTAGTGTGTCTGCAGAGCCAGAAAACCGCTCGGTCTCCTCTCGTGTTTACATTCAGATATCTAAAATTAACAACGCTAGGTTTACGAAACTCCCACATCACAAGGTTGACTAGTTGTGCCTAAAAAGGATAAATGATTTGTTAATGTTAAACTCAATGAACTTGGTGAAATCATCGCATGAAAATCAAACCTGCTATATTTGAACACGTAAAAGAAAAGATTCATGTTTTTAGGTAAAATCTGTTGTTTTTAAGACATAATCTTAATATCCCTGGTAACAGTAATACTTATGATAATTAAATATACTTTGCAGTTTTTAACTAAGATTTCTCTGGGAAATGGAGGACAGTTATTGCACCAGCCAATTTCACCATCAGTGATGATAATAAACAGGAGGAAGATGATAACGAGGCATATCCTCAAATATAAAATATTCCAAAATATTCTAATAATCTGTATTAGATCAGAAATAGTATCCATTGTTCAATAACTTTTCTAAAATATTCTACAATAATCTGTTTTTATAAAAATATTCTATAATGTTTAATAATTGTGATATATTCTGTATTTGTGAACATTAATGTAATGTTCTAAAATTAGTTCAATTATTCTAAAGTGTCTTATAATTATCTATATTATTCAAAAGTAATGTTTATTTTACTTATTTATGTTATTTTGGGATTTCTTTTACCAGAACAGGGCCAACGTCCATATTTGGTCGCTTTGTTGTTGTAGTTTTTTTGGTTTTCTGCATGAAAATAAATGTTTTTGAAAATTGTAACAACAGAAATACACTTTGGTTATGGACTACAATAACACCCTGGGGTTGAAATAAAAAAAATTTAAATACTTAAATGAGTGCCCTAGAAATGGTTTAGGGCTGTTTATTAGGTCTGATGTTCTGCTGAGCTGTGGTGGCCTCATGGAGGGGGCCATCGTCTAGCACACTGCTGCTAACCACTTAAACATTCTCCCTCTCCTGATAATAACTTTTTGCTTTCCTTGACGTTGGATGTGCTACAACTAGTTTATCAGTTTAATTATAGATCCACTAGGATAAATACAATAAAGTTTATCTCTCGCCAAATAGAATGTTTACTAAGAAATCACAATATAACTGTAGACACATGACTTTTTCTTTGTGTGTGTGTGTGTGTGTGTGTGCGTGCGTGCGTGCGTGTGTTGTTTGTGTGTGTGTGTGTCTGCTCTGTCTTCTCCATCCCCAGTGAGTCGTGGAGGATGGCTGCTTGTACTGAGCCAGGACCCTCTGGAGGTTTCTTCCTGTTAAAAGGGAGTTTTCCTCTCCACTGTCGCTGCATGCTTGCTTAGTATGAGGATTGCTGTAAAGTCACTGACACTAGTCAGTGACTTGATGCAATTTGCTGGGTTCCTTATATAGGAAACATTTTTTTCTTATTGGCTTAATGAACTGACCTGGATTGGAATGTTTATTATGTGAAGTGCCTTGAGACGACTCTTGTCGTGATTTGGCGCTATATAAATAAACTGAATTGAATTGAATTTATCTTATCTAAGCGATACACTCAGTGTCCCACTCTAATCAGCTAATGATTCCAGAACAGCTGGGAAGGGTTCCTGAGCCTTTAGATGGTCTCTCAGGTTAAGTTAAATGACTGAAACAAACAAACTGTTGCACCATATTCTAGTTTTAATCCGCCTGTCGGTCATTATTCTGTTGGTTATAATAAGCCGTTTCACCACCAGATGGCACTAGATAATGTCCTCTGCTCTTTAACGAAATCATCAAACTTTGTTAAATGATGTACTCATATTTAAAAAAAAAACATTAAAAGATGCTGTATTATTTGGATTTTGTTTTTATTTAAAATCTGAGTTTATAAGGTCTATTTCTGACTGTGATCAAAGGATTTTGCATCCCACATCTAATCAATGAGCCATTTTAAAGTTAGATGTCCAGCTGTCATTAAAAGGAGCACATTTGTGAGGACAATCGAGTACATCCCATGTAGGATTGAAGAAAAGAAGTTACTGCGTTTTAAGTTCCTTACAATTAATAACAAGAGCATCAATATGTGCAACCATTTAAATAATAGATTACTGCAAATAAGGAAGGCTAAAATGCAGTATTGATGGCTACTGTTGGGATCAATAGAAATAGTCCTAATGCAGGACACATACTTCCAGTGAATAAGAACAGATTTATTGCAAGTACTTAAAAGGTGGCTGGAAGCTTGAGGGGATGAAGATAAAGGAAAGTGAAGTCTGAAGGGAGCTTGTGGCTGGGCTAGGGAGCTGACAAGGATCGGACGCAGGGGAATGAGGGTTGTTGACTGAATGTGAAGCAGATGGGAAGGTCACGGTGGTAGGTGGAGTGAAAGCAAGGGAAATAACCAAGTGGATGGAGGGGAGGGAGAAGGTTCGGTGGACTTACAGCACGGACTGGACGGGATTATTATTATTCTTTCACGGACTGGACGGGATTAGAATAATTATTCTAATTATTCTATTATCTGACGGGAACAGCCGTCAGAAAAGGCCAAACCTTCCCGCAGTGTGACTGACTGCCCTGTTGAAACTGTAACAGAAAAAATGAGTGCTGAAACCTCTGAAAGAGGTGTGGGTGGAGAAGAGTCCCCGCTGCAGAGAAGCACACCGCCACAAATAACGAGCTCTTCAACCTATGACGAAACCAGATTAGCTCAGAATTCAGAGATTCAGCCAGAAAACGGTGGAGCGGAACCAACCTGCAGAAATCTGCTGCAATCTAGTTTTTCATTTGGAGGTGTGGAACTACGATTCGATGGTAAATTAACCGCATTCCACAAACACACAGAGCAAATGCTTGTCTGGCAGAAACTTTATTGCCAAAACCTGAGGTCTTGCTTTCACAGATGTATTTCAGGAGCTCCTTGCTACAGACGGAGATGTTTACTCGACAGCAACCAGAATGCAAATGAAACAAGTATGTGCAGTCCACATAGGTGCAGGAGTGAATTTGTATAGGAACTACTGTTATATATAGTGTCTTGTCTTTTTTGTTATTCTTTTTTTTTTTTTTTTTTTTTTTGCATTCTTGCTTAATTTTTTACTCCATTGCTATCTGTCTGAGCTGTGGTAACGCACAAATTCACCCACTGTGGGATCAATAAAGTCGTATCTTATCATCTCTTATTTCAGCAGGTCTATAAGTCCACAGCATCACCTCAGTCCTAGCTGGACTTCTGTGGAAGAGGTCTGAAAAAAAGAGTCGCCTCAGAACAGAAAACGCACGTATGATCCAGATGTGAAACCAAATTCCCTTGCCAAATCTGCCTGTACTGACCTGGATGTGAGGGCGATTAGTTCCTCATCCCGTAAAGGTCTGATTCGCTGAGAAATCATGTAAATATTTGTTCGTTCTGAAATACGATCGGGCACTCTGAGCTAGTTACACATTTATGCTGAGCTGCGTTAGTCAGGAAATAAACGGGAAAACGAGCCATCCTCTATTCGTCTCAGGGAAAACGATTATTCGTGGCCCCGCCCACCTTGAGTCGGCACCGCCCATGGGAAGGAGAGAGTAGAGCACGTCTCAGCTAGTAGAAGCTAACCATTAGCAACTCCACAACACCGCAGAACACGTTCAGGCTTGTGTTACGAAAGGAGATAACACATCATTGTTGCTTCTTCTTCTTTTTTTACCCAAGAAAGAAGAGCGATCACAAGCAGTTGTTGCTAGCTGCTAGCCCATCAGAGGTGATACATTTGCATATCATGCATATTAATGAGTAAAACTTGCCCCACTCCTCTGACGAACTTCTCCTTTCTGAAACAGGAACGCCAGAGCTTTTTTTTCCCCCACATGGAAAACACTGTTTTCCTTTCCCTTTATCACTGCTTTGTGTGTTTTAAGATTATTCAGCTCATTCAAATGTTAGTGGTCGGAGTAAAGGTGCAACCCGCACTTCGGCCACACAACAATAGTGGAACTGTGAAAAAATTCAGCTCAAATGCAGGAAAAACTTACAAAATAATAACAAATTATCTGGTAAAAAACACACTTTTTGTCTTTGTTATTAGGATTTCTGCTCCTCTGTTCAATTTAACAGCGTGGGCATTTGTAGGAGTGTAAGAAAAGCTGCTGCCTGTCATCTCAAACCCACTAAAGTAAATGGCAGAAACAGAAAGGATGAGCAGAAGACACGACAACCGTGGCTACTGGAAAACATACCTTTAATATAATAAACCAGAGATTTTCACAAGCACCTCCACCTCTGAGAAACACAAAGAATCTCCTCTCTTTGATTCTTTGAGAAGTGGAGGATAAGGATGATGAAAACGTGGAATAAGAGCCAGTTTCTCTTTGTGTGTCCCTCATTAGTTCAGAGTCCAGCTGAGTCTACTCCTCTTCAACTCATCATGAAGGGTGGGTGGAGGATAGGATGACAAAAACAAAGGAAGTGGGGTTTTTGTGTCACTCTCTGATTGGATGGGGCTTCAGATGACGAGAGCTGCTCAAGGGCTCTTTTGTCACCAATTAAAAAGGCAATCGGGCTGAGCACCATACAGTAAACAGGTGGTTAAATGAAAGCTTTCTAATACATCTTTTCAGATGTCTGAAAAGAAATTGCTACTCCAAAAATTTGGAGGAAACCCAGACATGGTTAGCTTAAAGGAGCAATATGTGAAAATTCTACTGAGAAAATATTTAAAACTGTTTATTGTCTCAGTCATTTGGGAAGGAAGGTTCCTTCTCAGCCAGCTGGGAAGTTGTCAGTTTTCCTCCTTTCAAAAAAACAAGAGGGGCTTAGCCAGTGTTGCCAACTTAACGACTTTGTCGCCATTTCTAACGACTTTTCAGACCCCCTTAACGACTTTTTTTCTAAAAAGCGCCTAGCAATAAATCGGGCGACATTTATGACCCCCCTCAGCAGCTTTGACTACAACTTTGTAGCAGACTTTACCTGCAGATTAGCGATGCATCTGAAGCGACAGGACCGTCCTTCCATCAAGAGGATCAGAAAGAAAATGATCTGCGCGTGTGCGTGCAGCATGATCACGCTACCCCTGTTGACCAATAAAACCTTTCGTGGGTTTTCACAAGTCCATTATTTGAGATGGCCACCGGAGCTACAGAAAGGGCGACCGCTCTTCGGCCGCTGAGCTCGCCTGGCACTGGCAGACAGCGTCGCACTCACACATGGCTTCTCGCACCACTTGTGGTGCATTCAAGGAACATTGGAACTCTATGATGAGTTCAGTAACGTAGCACATTTAAAACTTTTATAAAAAAACAGAATAATACTGCAAGACAAACACCTCAGGTCATTGGCAGTTTGCATGTAACGTTTCTGAATACTAAATACAGCCTGCTTCTACACAAAAGTACTAAAAACAACAAAAACAAACAAAAACAAAATATATATATATATTATCTTTTAGGTCAATATATAGCACTGAATCACAACAGAAGAATACATCTCAAGGCACTTGAAAACTACAAGAGAAAATTCATTTTAAGTCAATCACACATACATTCCTATCAATTTAATATTTTTGTGTTTACGAGTTCCATTCTCTTCAGACAAAATAAAAATAGTCCTTCCATTTTTTGTGCCATCTTTCCTTGATGTTTTAAAGGCCGCTGTTTTGTATTCTATGGGGTTTTTATTTTAATAAAATATAAAAAAAATTAAATTTTTTAAAAATAAAATCACGTGGGCTTTGTTTGATTTACTCTACAAGACCGGTGACGTCATGCGCAAATGTGGTGACATCATCACGCAAACCAGATGACGTCATTGTGTCGTATGCAAGTTAGTGCGTGACGTCATCTGGCGACATCTAGCGACTTTGGGGGGTAACTTCAGCTAGTTTCAGTCAAAACAGTTGGCAACACTGGGCCTAGCTACTGCTTACAATCAGTGAGGTTGCCGAATCTACAGAGAGCTAGCAGCTAACACCAGCAGGCAAAAAACTCTACAGTCATTTAAAGAACTGAAGCCAGTAAACAGGAGCAAGCCAGAAGTTATTTCTTGGACCCTTATAAGCCACGACGTATTTTTGTTTTACTGTAATATCTGGTGAAGTAGTCCAGATGCTAATGTTGAGCTAACGATGGTAACAGGGAATTAGAGGCAACTAGTTGGCTGTAAAAACATCTCAAGGTACTTTTTCAATCACCAAAATCTCAATAATACAGTGACGTGTGTAAAGTGAATTATGAGTCAACGGTGGCGTCTTTCTTCATTTAATGAGTCGTTCAGAACTATAACAGCGAGCTAACAGCGAGACGGCAAAAACTACACTTCCTCTACTGCCGAGGACACTTTACCGTAGTAAGTGTAGTAAGTGCTCCCTTGTCATTGTCACACCAGATGTGACAATGCATTTTTCCACTTATCAACTTACTGTGATATCTCGTCTTCACTCGTCTTCTGATGCTGATCTGTAACTGCCGACAGCCGTGAAACTCACTCAGAGTCACGGGTAAAGTAACAGTTTGCTCAGAAAAGTGGCCTGCAGTGACCACGTTTGACCACAGGATGTCATTCTTACTTCATTCTTAAAATGTGCATCTTTAAAATGAGGACTAGAAAACCCCGGAATTGTTACAGCCTCAATAAACCCTTTTCACTCCAAGCAATGAGTGAAAATTAAGCTTTCGTTGCTCACGTTTGAGTTGATCTCCCTCTCAAGTGTTTTAAGTAATGAGATGCTAAATCTCCTGACAGTCGAGATTTGCTTTTAGCGCTTTGATCGCCTCCCCAATTTAATCAATTTCCCACCAAGAGAATGGAAACATAATAAAGTGACTGGATATGCTGAGCCGTCACATGAAGAGTGTGTGTGGTTTCCCCCAGCAAGCCTTTCATTTTCAAATCCCTCCTGTGTCTGAGAGGCGCCGGCCATCTGCCAGATGATGTTTTTGTTTGCAGAGACCCAGATAAAGTTGTGAAGGTCGATGTGCTGCGAGGCCTGTGAGGCGACGGCATGCATGCTGAGGAGCCGCCTTTACAGTCAGACACCGAGCAGAAGAAGAGAGGGCAAAGAACAGAGGAGAGAAGAAGGAGAAAGGGCACTTGTCATGTGAATGTTGAGAAAGAGGAGCCGCTTGGAGGCAGAGTCGGATTTTCTTGAGGAAAAATTGATGCACGTCTGCAAGGTTTCATACTCTCCTCTGTTACAGCTCCTTCCATGTTAGATCCGCATCATCTCTGATGAATGATGCTAACTTGATGCAAGCACATCTATAAAAAAGTGGGAACCGAGTGTCTCTTTCGTTGTTCGTCTGCCATTAGCTTCCCTAAGCTGGGCTTTAAAAGCTCCTTGGTGCTTTGTTCTGAGCTTGTGGTTCAAAGAAACCCCACAGCTGGTGGAGATAATGAAGGGAAAGCTGTCTGGCTGCTCCAGCGGTGTGAACTTGGATGTGTTAATCCATCCGCACTGAGAACCAGAAACTTCTCACATGGAGGCGAAATCCTCGGCCCTGACTAATTTCTGTCGCTTTGCAGAAACAAGACGGTGCTGACGCTTTGTAATATTTGTTTGAATGCAAAAAAAAAAAAAAAAGGAAGATCTTTGAAGGGAATTTCAAATTTTCTTTCTGCAGGCCACGGTTGCAGCCTTCGCAGCCAGCGAAGGTCACTCTCACCCTCGGGTGGTTGAGCTTCCCAAGACGGAGGAAGGGCTTGGCTTCAACGTGATGGGTGGCAAGGAGCAGAACTCCCCCATTTACATCTCTCGCATCATTCCTGGAGGCGTGGCTGAAAGGCATGGAGGCCTAAAGCGAGGGGATCAGCTGTTGTCTGTCAACGGTGTGGTAGGTGACGTCCAACCAGACCATGCAGAATGAAGGATGTTTGATCTCAGGTCTGATATGAGTCAGCAGTCAGAGCTTCTGTATGAAGGTCGAAATGTTGCTCTCATCCTGAGTAAGAAGCTTTCCCTTTGATCTGATCATCATGAATGAATTAATATCTCCTCACCATGACTTCCTCTCTCTCTCACTCTCTCTCTCTCTCTCTCTCTCTCTCCTGCCCTGCAGAGCGTAGAAGGAGAACACCACGAGAAAGCGGTGGAGCTGCTGAAAGCGGCCAAGGATAGCGTGAAGCTGGTGGTTCGCTACACCCCCAAGGTGCTGGAGGAGATGGAGGCCCGCTTCGAGAAGCTCCGGACGGCCCGGCGGCGTCAGCAGCAGCAGCTCCTCATGCAGCAGCAGCAGCAGCAGAACCTGCCGTCTCAGCAGAACCACATGTCGTAGGTTAGGCGCTTCATGACTTTAAGGGTGGGGGGTTGCAGGAAGGCAAACATTAGCCTCCATCACTTTTTCTAGGCTATGCCATTCCGGCAAACATTTTTAGTTTAAGGAATTATCAAATGGACACGCTCCACATCTCTCTTCTCCTGTCAGAACATCTCTTGGTTCTGCCCAGACAATCGTGTCCATGTTGGTGAAACCAAGGACGTAATTTTCACTTTAGAAGTGGGGGGGACACGGGGGGGGGGGGGGGGGGGGGGTCTTCATAATATGTTCTAAGGGGAAACAGGCTTCAACACAAACGGTTGCTTTCCGCTTGGTCCTAGAGCTCAACCAGTGTCAATTTAATAAAGCGTAATATTGTTTTCGGATGGTAAAAAGTGCAGGGGTCAAAACTTGACTTTGGAAAAAGTGGGGGGGGGGGACATGTCCCCTCTGTCCCCCCCAAAAAATTACGTCCATGGGTGAAACTACCAGAGTGAGATAAAGATCTTGAGTCCAAAAGCAACTTCAGTTGAGGCAAGTTGTAAAGAGAAAGCATCCACATAGGGAGCCTAATGGTGTTTCTCAATGTCAAGGCGCCTTGCTTACGAGGACACTGTCCTTCCTTGGTCAATGAAAACGGTTAAATGTAGCAGACTTGCATCACGTGACCGCGGCTTCCACGGTGGTCACGTAACGTCACGGGAGATAACGTTATATTTTATACATATAAGTTTCAGTATAAATATATAACGAGCCTTTTACTTTTTAAATTGTGTACATGTTTATTAAATTGAATATATAAGTGAGTTACTACCCGCTAGCCACCAAAGCTGCAACTAATGAGAAATTAACCAACCATCGATAACTTCTTTGGATCTAAAAAAACATTTTAAATTAGCTGACTTACTTTTAAACTTGAAAATTGTCCCTGAAGTAGCTGCCGGCTTCTGATCCACCGTCCTTTGGAAAATACTGCGGTGTATTCTGGGTAATTTTTGACCAAGGCTAGGCTACAAGACACCTCCCGTGTATCCTCGCTCAGCTAGCTAAACGGCTAACAAACGGAGAGCACATGCATCGGTAGAACATGAACACTGGAACACATCTTGGCAGCTCCTGATGACGTATCTCCTAGGCAACCGGGGCGGGGCCAAGACATCAAGGCAAGGTTCCTCGGCTTAGAGAAACACATTCGTCACTTCCGCATCATGGGTCCCCGGAAGAACGAAAAAAAATGAATGCAAGTCAACGGGGCTAAAAACGCAATTTTTTAGCCCGCTGTGCCTTACTCCCTGGATCGCTCATGTGTTGTACTGCAATTTAAATGAAAAGTAATGATGGGTGTTTCGATCACGCCAGTCACGTACTTTGAGATTTGTTAGCTTGTAAAAGTTCATAATTAGCATGACTACAAAGTAGAAATCGGCAGGTCGCACATGTGACATCACCACATAATCTCCTCTCCACAAAGTGGCTGCTACTTACCACATGACCAGATTCATGGTGGTTATTTCCTACTGTGGGATGTTTGCTGAACTTACAACCCTTTTCCCTCAGTTTTCTCCGTGTCTGGTTCAATGACATCACTTTCGTGAAGCACATTTGTAGTTCTGGACTTATTTTCACACAAAACCTAAAATATTGTTCCCCCCGTTCGAAAATAAGCCCGTTCTTGGCATCAAAATGGGCCTTTAAAATTCACGGACATCATGTGTGAAATCCATGTCACAAAACAAGCGGATTAGAAAATAGCGTTTTTAGCCCCACTGACTTGCGTTCATTTTTTCGTTCTTCCGGGGACCCATGATGCGGAAGTGACTTAGGCACCCTATTAAATAAGGAGCAGGGCCAGCTCATCTGTTTTACTTTTATTCCCTTTAAAGTCTTCAAATCTACAAACTAAATATAACATTAATGTCATCATTTATTTAATGGGCCAGAAACTATCCCTAAAGTGTAATACCACCAGTGGCCAGTAGGAGCAGTAGTGTTCAAGCCATCAACCGTGAATGTTAATTAGCTAAATAGCAAATTAGTATTTAGAAGTTGAAGCAAAAAGGAAACAGATGACCCCTAGTGGTTGGTTTCAGAACATGTTTTATCTCCAGCCTCCTTCATGTAAAGCAGAATTTTCCTTTGTTCCAGGTGATGACTTCAGTTCATCTACTTTTCTTGCTGCTGCATATCTAAACACATTTAGTTGTGATCAGTCGTGTAAAAAAGTATCATGGCTTCAATTTTCCAACATGGCCGACATAACTTCTTTACAACAGAAGTAGACAAAGGTGTGTATTCTATCATTATATACGCCGATCATCCAAAAACTCATATTTTACAGCCAAAAAAGACTCATCTACACAAATACAATACATGTTTGTCCAGTCGGGTTGATTATGAATCAAAATGTTAACCGAAAAATCCAGAATGAAGCTTTTTAAAGATCCAGGTGTCATTATATTAATCCCTAAAAGGTTTTTCCTGTAAAAATAAAAATCTTTAAGCAAAGTTTGCCTGCAGCTGTTCCTGTTGTTGAGGGGGTTTACTTCATAAAAAACGGCTCTTTTTCTTATTTTGATATCTATTCTCTCCTTCCTTCTCCAATAAATGGGATTTATTTTGACACTCTTTGACGTCCCTCCCCTTGAAGCTGCTGAAAGTGTAAAGTTGTGCAAACATAAACATCCAGAAGCAGGAAATAAAGACAGTGTGTTCTGCTCTACCTTTAAGCTTTTATTCACTGTGCTTTGTTTTTTGCCTCGTAAGCACTTTTGTCAGCTCGAGTTCAAACTCACTATCCTTCCCAACATAAACCGTTTTTTTGTTGCAAACTGAGCAGCAGCAGCCGTTGGTCTTTACACCAACACTACTGCTCCTTGTGTGTTCTGCTGGTGATTTTCTTATCGGGGTCATGAATTATTCAGGCTGAAGCTGATTACATCTGTGACTCCAGCTCCGCAGGTAAGTCGCTTCAACCTTCAGTGTTTCAAGCCGAAGCACGGATGGAGCGAAACTTTAAGCTAAGCAGAGAAAATTCACTCTTTTGCTGCAGAAAACCTTTCAAAGCCATACTGTGCCACTTTTTCCCAATTTTAAATCGTTTTCTTGAGCCAGTATGTGCTAAAATAACTCTTTATAGCAGGGCTATTCAATTCCAGGCCTCGAGGGCTGTATCCAACGCGTTTTAGTGATTTCTCTGGTCCAACACCTGTGCAGCAGCTCATCAGGCTCTGTAAAAGCCTGGTGTGTTGAAGCAGGGTTCAAAACTAAAACGTGCCGGATACCGGCCCTTGAGGCCTGGAATTGAATAGCCCGGGTTAATGAAATGTCACTCAGACCCCCACCGCCCCCTGTGGCCAGAACACCGCATTTGCAACTTCAGAGTGACGGTCCAGTCAGTTGGACTTAGAGAAAAGTGGATCTGACATACCTGGCACTGCAGCCTGCTTCCAGCATGTTTCTTGCATATTTTACATCATGAACACAGCTGATTTGTTTAATTTAGTGCTGAATCACTTGTGTAGACACTAATGAAGGCTGGGAGACATTTTAGCTGTTAGATTAAGGTGTTTAAAAAGACAAACGCACAGCGAGGAGATAATTTTTGCTTTTGGTTCCACCAAACGGACATTTTGGCTGCTAAAAGCAAGCAAATGTGTGTGCCTTTAAAGTGAAAATCCCATCAGTCATCATCATCTCTCTGGTGAAACTCATCCCCGCATCTGACCCATCCCCACTGGGCTGCAGCTGTGACTGCGTTTGGGAACTATTTGGTGGTTTAATCCCCAAATGTCTTAATTTTTTAAGGTCTTTGGTATGACCCGACCAGGATTTGAACCTTCATCTCCTAATCCCAGGGTGGACACGCTACTACTAGGCCACTGAGAAGGTTTGAAGAAAAACATAACAGGGCCTCTGATATCTCCCTAATCTGCAGGATTCAGGGTTATCGTTGTCGTACCCGATGCAACAATAGGCATGTTTCCACTACCGGAACTTCCCGGCAAGCCGCCACTTCACCCGGACGGGCGATTGGCCGTTTTCAGGAATGTTCGAAGTACCCGAACAGGAGTACTCGTAACGACCCGGCGGAGTAGCTGAGTGGAACCTTTGGTTAACTCACGTTGACTGGTTGAAACTCAGTAGGAGACATCAACATATATACTGGACAATGCGTTTCCATAGGCTCCAATTATAAATTTTTGTGCCAAAATGGGAGGTTCCCACCACCGCCATTTTGACCGTGTCACAGGTTCCGTCAAGCCCAGACAATTCCAAAAAAGGGAAAAGAGGTGGAGCTGAGGGTGGGGCTGTAAGGCTGGGATCAAATGACGACACCCGTCGAACTGAAGCGATGTAGCTTCAAGCTAACTCAAAGCTAACGCGGAGGTAGGAGCTAAGCTAATGGAGGTAGCAACCTAGCTACAACCGGAGTTAACTGTGCACAACACCAGAGCTTCTGAGTCAGAGATGCGCTGGGCTGACCGCTGGGTAAAACCGGGTGGAACAGTGAGGTCTCCCGAGAGCTCCACAAGCCGGCAGCCGCGCAGCAGACAGGCTCCTCTGCGGTCAGACATGTGCCGAGCTGCCGCTGAGGGGAGGGGACCGTACCGATAGTGGGAACCCAGCTCCACCAACATGTTATATTTCAACCCATTTTCTAAAGTGCAGCATTAAGTTAAATGCACTGGGTTTTACCCTATTACATTTAAATTTCATGGTTAAACAGTACATGTTAAAATCTAAGCTCAGCTCGGCAGCAGAGCCGGATTAAATAAATGGACTACACTAGGCAGGCTGCATTTTTTGCCCCCCCCACCACCCCCCTCCATCAATGTCATTTTATGAAATGAAATCTGAAACTTACCAAAGTTAATAATAAAAGTTAATTCACATTTTACTTAGAAGTCTTTGGTTACAAATTGGTTGCTTGTATGCCAAAATAAATCATGTGTTGTACGTTAGATAGGAGTCCTATCCACAAATTCTATCATTGGACATTTGTACATTTTATTTTAATTTATTTATTTTTAATTTTGTCCCTCTCATCTGGGCCCCATCCAGCCAATCAGGCCCTAGGCATGTGCCTGCTTTGCCTTTGCATTAATCCGGCTCTGCTCGGCAGTGACCTAAAATACATGAATATAATTTTACTTACCAAATAAATGAAGTGAAGACTCCTTGGACGCTCTATTAGTGCAATTAATGCCACAGCAAGTCATTTTGTCCAACAATTGCACAAATAATATCCAAACAAGAATACACAAACACAGAGACTCAAAATCCTGGAACAGTTTCCAGGCCAGACCGAGGCTCAACTGAGGCCTTTCCACGGAGCTAGCTCTGTGGTCACGTGGGTCTGATGCTCATTAATTATACAGAATTTTAGGCGTTTAATACACTTAAACAGAAGAGTGAGAAAAAAATTCACCCCCCTCAGAGTTGTCATGAGTATAAACTAGATCATTTAAACCAAAAACATGTTTTGGTACCAGGCTGTAAACATGTTTATTTCTGCTGTGAAATTGGTATTTTTAACATGGGAGTCAATGAGGATGTGCTCGCTTCTGACACCCGCCCCTAGTGGATGAGGGTGGAACTGCAATTTTTGTCACTTCCTGTTTTGCTTCATATCCGGACCCGAATTATGTGGACTTGGTAGGAGATGAACATCAGCAGACGTCGTCTAACACAACTGGCATTAGTAACATTAGAAGAGTTGCTTGAGTAGCAAATAAGCTTCCAACACCAAAAAACATGGTGGAATTCCCCCACAACAACACAATTCACAGCGCTTTCTTGTCTCACAAAGTGCTGTAAAAAAACCGAGCCTCTGCCGGTCATTGAACACAACATTTTACATCACACAGCAGCTCTCCCGGTCCTCTGAATGGATTCAGGTGCCATACTTCAATTCAATTCAAAGATACTTTATTGATCCCAGAAGGAAAACAGAATAAACCTTTTAATGTTCCTGTGGGTGCTTTTTGGCGCTGATCAGTGACATCACTCACTGATGACTGAGCAAAGTCCTTAAAGGTCTGAGAGGACCAGGCCATCGAATCTCCCGGCCACTCTCCCCTGACGGGTCTGACAATGGAAACCAAGCCCCCATAATGCCGCTCAAAATTTGAGCCCAACCCGGAAGTACCAAAAATTGCAGTTCCACCCTCATCCGCTGGGGGCTGGTGTCAGAAGCGAGCAAATCCTCATTGACTCCCATGTTAAAAATACCAATTTCACAGCAGAAATAAACATGTTTATAGCCTGGTACCAAAACTTGTTTTTGGTTTAAATGATCTAGTTTACACTCATGACAACTCTGAGGGGGGTGAATTTTTTTCTCACTCTTCTGTTTAAGTGTATTAAACGCCTAAAATTCTGTATAATTAATGAGCATCAGACCCACGTGACCACAGAGCTAGCTCCGTGGATAGGCCTCAGTTGAGCCTCGGTCTGGCCTGGAAACTGCTCCGGGATTTTGAGTCTCTGTGTTTGTGTTTTCTTTTTTGGATATTTTTTGTGAAATTGTTGGACAAAATGACTTGCTGTGGTATTAATTGCACTAATAGAGCGCCCAAGGAGTCTCCACTTCATTTTTTTCTGTAAGTAAAATTATATGTATGTATTTTAGGTCACTGCCGAGCTGAGCTTAGATTTTAACATGTACTGTTTAACCATGAAATTTAAATGTAATAGGGTAAAACCCAGTGCATTTAACATAATGCTGCACTTTAGAAAATGGGTTGAAATATAACATGTTGGTGGAGCTGGGTTCCCACTATCGGCTTGTGGAGCTCTCAGGAGACCGATGTTTTCCACCCGGTTCTCCCCTCCCCACAGCTCGGCGCATCTCTTGTCTGCTGCGCGGACTGCCGGCTTTCAGCAGCTTTCGGGAGACCTCTGTGTTCCACCCAGTTTTACCCAGCGGTCAGCCCGGCATATCTCTGACTTAGAAGCTCTGGTGTTGTGCACAGTTAACTCCGGTTGTAGCTATAGGTTGCTACCTCCGTTAGCTTAGCTCCCACCTCCGCATTAGCCCTGGGTTAGCTTTAGGTTAGCTTGTAGCTAGTTCGACCGGGTGTCGTCAGTTGATCCCAGCCTTACAGCCCCACCCTCAGCTCCAACTCTCTTCCCTTTCGTGGAATTGTCTGGGCTTGACGGAACCTGTGACACGGTCAAAATGGCGGTGGTGGCCACCTCCCATTTTGGCACAAAAACGTGTTATTGGAGCCTATGGAAATGAATTGTCCAGTATATATGTCGATGATGGAAACACGCCTGCTGCAGCGAAGCAACAGTAACGAGCTGGCGTTTTACACCATCTGTGAGCGAGCGTGATGACAATGCCCTCAGATTGTTTTCTTGTTTTTTCTCTGATCTGCAGGTTGTTCCAGAAGAAGTAAAGGAGCACTTTCGGGTGGATCTCCATGTATTGGAAACCAACAGGTGGACTTTTTTACATCCTCGTCCTCCCTTCCAGCCTTCACCGATCATCGAGCAAAGAGAGAATTTGAAATTGGTGCTTAGTTTAACCTTCCTTTTATGGTTTCTCTTCTTTTCTGTGAGTTTCAGTTAAAGCTCCCTTTTACTGCTTCCTCCTTCCTTTGCCTTTTTCCCCATAGATATTGTTTGTGAAGTGGTGTTTCTATTGATTCTTCAACTGGTGCTGGTGTCTCGTATGAATGATCCTTTGGTTTCCGGTCCTTTTTTTGGATAAACTCTTTTTTACCTTCGAAACTGTAGCAAGAAAATAATTTTCTATCCTGTAGGTGTAGCAATAACACATTCTTGGGTTTTTACAGTTGGCCACTGAGCTCCCGATCACACCGACTTTATTTCACGTAATTCACTGTAGAGAAAATCGAGTTTAACTCAAAGTTCTGGCAGCTTTCGAGTCCAAATCTATGCCGTTTAAAGAGATTATCAACAACATGTATGATTAAAGTTTAATCAAGGTCACTATTAGAGATATTTATTCATTTAATTCAAGGACATTTTATGTAGAGAATATATTAGAGATTATTTCACTCTGCAGAGATGCTAAATGTGTCCTGTTACTATTATAAAAAGAATGTCTTTGACTTTTATTTGCATTAAATTAAATAGAATTATGCTCAAAGCATGTTTTTTAGAATATTGTATATTAAGAGTTTTATCATCATCTGATATTTATTTATTCTCAGATAAACAGATTGTCATTTAAACTCTGTTCAGATTCTTGACATCATTTCCTAGCTTTGTTTCATGGACATTTATTTTGAATTATTTTTCTGAAGTGAGAGGAAAGTTTGATATTTTGTTCGTTGTTTTGTTTAAATTAAATCTTTTCTCCTGAACAAACATGTCCAAATTTAAAGCTTTCCACCTGATTTGAGTTTATTTTGGTTTTTGTCTTTGCTGCTGAGCACTTCCTGTTTGCGAGATTTTGTTTTTATTTTGCTAACCGGTGAAATCTTTGATATTATCTTTTATTCAGTTCCAAAACCTTGAAGCCCAATCAGAAAACAAAACGTAATGTTTTTCTCCCCTTAGTGAACAGACTGTGTAAAAGAACAGTCACAAACTCACATTCTCGTGGAAATAATCCAGATTAAAGCTTTCCATTGATCTGCTTTATACGATGAGGTCATTGCCGAAATAACCTGCTGGCGTTGAAGCTCACTTAATGCCACAGCTTTGTGTTAAGTGAGCTTAAAGCTCAGGTTTTATCTCAAATATTTTTCTTCCTCCAGTTAAAAGAATAAAACATTAAAGAGCTTTTTTGTATCTTTAATGACTTTTTTCCTAATTGACTCCGTTTTGATGCTAATAGTCCAGGGGTGTTTCTCAATGTCAAGGAACCTTGCCTTGATGTCTTGGCCCCGCCCCGGTTGCCTAGGAGACACATCATCAGAGTGCCGTTATGGCTGCTCTCGTGGTCTGCCTGTATCTGTTTTGTCTACGTGTGTGTGTGTGTGTGTGTGTGTGTGTGTGTGTGTGTGTGTGTGTGTGTGTGTGTGTGTGTGTGTGTGTGTGTGTGTGTGTGTGACTTTGGTCAGGATGTGCTGCGGAGTCAAGTTCCTATGCTTTGGGACGCTGGAGCACTGGCAATAAAGCTGATTCTGATTCTGATCAGGAACCGCCAAGACGTGTTCCAATGGGTTCCAATGTTCATGTTCTACCGAGGCGTGTGTTCTCCGTTTGTTATCCGTTTAGCTAGCTGAGCAAGGACACACGGGAGGTGTTTTGTAGCCTAGTCTTGGCCAAAAATTACCCAGAATACACCGCGGTATTTTCAAAAGAACGGCGGATCAGAAGCCGGCAGCTACTTCGGGACAATTTTCAAGTTTAAAAGTAAGTCAACTAATTTGAAAATGTTTTTTTTTAGATCCAAAGAAATTATCTATGGTTGGTTAGTTGCTTGGTAGTTGCAGCTTCGGTGGCTAGCGGGTTGTAACTCACTTATATTTTTTATTTAACAAACACATACACAATTTAAAATGTAAAAGGCTCGTTATACATTTATATTGAAACGAATACGTATAAAATATAACGTTATTTCCCGTGTCACATGACGTTACGTGACTGCCGTGGAAGCCGCGCTCGTATGATGCAAGTCTGTTCCATTTAACCGTTTTCTTTGACCAAGGAAGGGCAGTGTCCTCGTAGTGTCCTCGTAAGCAAGGCGCCTGTTCTTGCAAGACATCGCCTCACAAGGCCAGGCGCCTTGACATTGAGAAACACCCAAGGACTCCCCGTGACAAGAAGACAGCGAACCGTTGATATGCAATTGTTATACATACTATATTTGTATTAATAAATCTATGTGCTTGTGTACAGTGACTGTTTTCTTGACTCATTTTTCAAGTACATTTTCTTTCTTGGGCTTTTTTAACCCTGAATTTTTCACAGAATTGTGAACAACTAAACAGATTTAAAAAACACACACACACAATATTAGGAAACTAGTTCAATAAAGTAAAAAGACCTGGATCCTGTTGTTTCAAAGCAGCAATCAGAAACTTAAAAATCTCAGGGATGATTGATTCATCAAAGACTTTGGATTCCCTCTTGAACAGTTTGTCCTGTTACCAATAAAACACAAAACTGTCAAGATGCTGTTCAGGAGGAGAAACGAGGAGAGAACGTTCTATTCTTAAGGTGGTACGAGCTGTGGTAGAGCTTCAGGCTAACCTGGAGCAACCCGAAACCGTGCACCACGCAGAGGAACCCGCAGGGACAGAATGAGAGCGTTAGAGTTGGCAACAAACTTCTGTCTCATAAATGATGGAAAAACTTAAGTCTTTTTATTCTAACGTCCAAAATCACGAGACAGAAAGAACCAGTTTTACTAAATACTACTTAGAGCCACAAAGTCTACTTGACCCTCAGAATTAAGAGTTTGTTTTTGTAGAAAACTGAGTTACAGGCTTCAAGGTTCTCCTCATCCAGGTCATGGTAATCCAAACGGGTTAATTCTGACTGGAAGATGGGAGAGTCAAGCTTCTAAGCTGTAACTGTCCAATGGTGCATAAAGGGACAGTGCATAGCTTCCCTGGTGATAGGGGGCAGTATACTGAAATGATTGCAAGCAAGCATAACTTTTGTGTTCAAGTAAGACCGTACCAACGGATGGCCATTAGGGTCAAAAATCCCTGGGAGCACAACCTCCAGCTAAATAACAAGAACATCAGATTCCCTTTCATCACTGGCAATGAGTGAAGAGGTAAATGTGTAAAACAACATTTATGAATGGTGAAAGCTTTGGAACCATTTGTTACAAATCAGTAAATGTGTTTTGTCCTCATGGGCTTCCATAAAAGGAAGCATGTCATCCAGTATGGCGTCGCCTTGTGACTTAGGCCCAATGCGCCCTGCGGACTTCAGCAAAGTGCACTTGGAGAAAGTGTGCAGTAGGGTTCGAGTGCGTAGCACACAAGTGTGCAAATAATTGCCAAATTGAGACAGGGAGCGTTGCGTCATCGTTCGCAACACATGCCGTAATGCTGGTCGCTGTGATACTTTTTTCAAAAGCCTTTATTAACAACTTTCAAACAAACAATAAAGCAATTATTTGAAATACATTTTACTTCATTGCTGCTTTGTCTAAAACGTTTAGAGCATCAAATAATCATCCTAAAATGAACTAATTTCATTAGAAAATACACATTTTCAGAAAAGGAACTTGAGCCTTTCCTCCTGCAGCAATGACTTGTGGGTAATACCCTTGCTCGAGGTCCACATCGCTGCGGACTTGGGTGAAGTGCTGATTAAGGGTGCAATGGTGGCATGGTCAACTTCCGCACTTGAGAACTGGGACAACCTACGCACTCGCATCCCTGGCCAGGAATGCCCAAATGAAGGGCATAAGTGTGAGCATTGAGATTGGGCCCCAGGCTCGCTCCCATGTATTTTTATGGTTATATGTTGTGAAACTGCCAATATTTTTCATCAACTGGGCATCTTGTAATTAATTTTCAACAACATTTTGATGGATATTTCCAGAGATTAATGGTAAAAACTACACATTGTCACTTTAACAAGCTGAAACTGCCTATGAATATCCCTCCTCTCTACCCCTGATGAGCTGTTGATGTCGTTAGGCCCTATTGTGCTTGAATAATTCTTTTGATTAGATGCAGAAGGATGTTTACCTGAGCCGTTTCTCAATATGCCTACTTGTCTGCACTTTTGTACTCGCGTTCTTGTGAAACATCATCGTATGCCCAAGTACTGCTCCAATCATAAGAACGCTTTCATGCAAGTATGCTTTGAGCTCCTGGAGGTGTTTTTACTCTGCTCAGTATATCAAGGATGCATTTGATGCATCCTTCTTTGGACTTGGCCAGTGTTCTGAGAATTTCTCCTACCCGGTAAACCGTCCTTCCCGTTGTTACTGAGCATGCGCAAACATGCGCACAACACAAAAGGGAAATGCTACTCCGTTGTCATATTTGCTGGAAAATAGATAAGTAGTAAGTATTAGTACTTCTTTTCTTTGGTTAGGGTGAGGGATAGGGTTTGTGTCATGTAAAACACCGTGAAATTCGCCTACGGGTAGGACGTTTTGCCAAAGTAGGACGTTTTCTCAGAACACCGGCACAGTATCCCACAATGCATTGTGATGCAAACCGCTTTGAATGGCAGAGGAGAAAGTTCGTATCTAGCGTTTAATATGAGAAAAAAAAAAGAAATGTAAAGTTGCCTGTTATTGTTAATTGCATGTAACCTGTATACTTTGCTGTGTGTTAAGCCGGGCGTACACTGTGTGACTTTTTCACTCGTAGCACTCAGTTTCAGCTCAAACTGTACGACTTCCTCGCAGGGCAGATCTCACGAGTCATGCGCTCACACTGCACGACCCAGTTCTCGCATGCGACCTGACTGCTCACACTGTACGTCTGGTAGCAACACGTCGGCCCTAAAAATGTGCTAAAAATAGCAGTTTTTACTCAACACGTCAGACTTTTTTGTATTGTTTTGCCTGTTGTCCTTCGGGAGTGCTGCAGGAGCACACACAGGGATTTACGGGGGTTGGATGAGACGAAATAAAGAAAGTAAATCTGTGTTTTGTGATCAGTTTAATTTGACATGAACACGACAAACATGCTTTCTAGACAAGCTTTGTGAGTAAAAAAAACGTGTAGAAGCAAAAACGAACAACGTGTGTTATTAAGGAAATAGCGAGCGGCGTTGATGCAGGATTGCGCATGCGCCGTGCGCGGTTCTGATACTTTTTGGGTCGCAGCTGCTCGCAGCGCCGCTTCAACAGTGCGATACCCTCACGAGGGACGAGCAAAATATTAAACACCCCAGAAGTCCGTGCGAGCTCACGACTGCTGATCGGCGGCTGGTCACGTGGTGTTAATCGCCTCTCGTAACCCCCTGTACACTACACGACGCTCGGCGCAAAACTCACCCCGATGTCGTGGATTCTCGCACGACTGGAAAATCGGCTCAAAAAAGTGAAAAAGTCGCACAGTGTACGCCCGGCTTAACTGTGTGTGACTTCACAGTCCCTCTAAATATTAAATACCTGTCTCACAGTGGCGGCTGGTGAAAAATATTTTTGGTGGGGCTGTGCTGTTTTTTTTTTTAAACAAACTTGTGCTTTCTGAGCTTTGTGCACAACTTCACTATTTCCTGAATTAAGCACAGCTCTTTTATTTCCTGTCTTACATCATTGGACAAACTGATTAATCCAGGTGTGTCTGACTATTGGCACGCTGCCTTGCGGACCAAGGTTGAAAAATACTGCATTAAATTGCACATAAAATAACATGACCATAAATGGTAAATAGGCAATGCAAGAGGCAAGTAACAAAAACATTTTGTTTAATTTCAACATTTGAGTGAACACGAAAAATTATGAGCAGGTCACTGTTACAGTAATGGTAGTAAACACCACATAGACAAAATGCCAGAAATTTACACTGTTAAATATTTCTGGAGTGTTGTGCCATGGTCAACTTTATACAAAGATCAAGTGGATGCATTTGTGTGTGTGTGTGTGTGTGTGTGTGTGTGTGTGTGTGTGTGTGTGTGTGTGATACCTCATTTGTACAGAAATGTTGCCCGTCTGTCCTTCTGAGTGGCAAAGCTCTTGATGAGCTTTTTATTGAAGTCAGGAATGTTTGGGACAAGCTTTTTTTTCCATGGAGAGCATGGCAAGAGCATTCAGCCCATCCTGTGTCATGGTGTTCCTCAAGGAAAGTCTTAATCCTCTTTAAAGTAGATAAATAAATAAATAACAACAGATAAGTACATAGGAAACACTTTCATAGGAAATAATGTCATCAGTATCCTCTTACAAATGTCATATTTCCCAGTTTTTGGGACAATAAACATTTCTGATTCTCAATCAGATGTTTTTACATTTGAGGTAAAAACATCTAATTGAGAATCAGAAATGTTTTATTGTCCCAAAAGCTGGGAAATTTGTTTGCTGCAGCAGAAGTGTAACAAGTAAAATGGAATCAGATTGATGTATGTACAAATTTACATGAAATACACATTTACGTGATTAAATATGTATAATAAGTATGCGTGTTGAAATGAGTTTTTACAGTTATTCCACATTAAACATGTTATTAAACAAATGTCCCGGTTTGTGGGACAACCAAGGATTTTTGATTCTGATTGTCTTGTTCACAGAAATGTAATGTACAGCTTACCTCTGCACCCAGCTGCTGTTGTTCTCCCTGTCCAAACGTCCTCCGTTTCTTCGTTTCCCTCGTCGAGCTGCATGGCAATGTTAGCTCTGCCTAGCATGGCTAGCTTCACCGTGTTGTTGTCCATGTGTGCCCGGGATGACTCGTGTTTCTTCACCTTCTCAGAAAAATGTTTCATGTCTGTAACTCCTGACTCATCCATGCCTTATCTGTCCCAGCCGTTTTGAATAACAAACACGGAAAGCAAAATAACACATTAGCGTGATTGCATCCAGCTAGCCAAGCCTTCCTGGTGTACCAATTTCGGGAGAAGCCTCGTGTGTACAGTTTACCTCTCTCCTTGTCCTGCTGGCTTATCTTTACGTCGGGCTAATCTGGTCCAAGCTCTTTGACATTGTTTTTCCACCATAGTTCTCCTCTCCAACGGATACTGGAGAAGAGACCGAACTGAATTCAGTGGCTGCTGAGATCCAGTATCCATGCTGGTTGTAGTCACCGGCGGCGTCCATGTTACATCTGCGTCACGACCTATGGTCACGACCATAGACTGTACATACGACCAAAAACGACTCTGCCGAGTTCTACCGAACACCAACGAAAGCCTTTGGCAGTAGCTCTATTGCCCATCATGCTTCTGAAACAACATCGACGCTGATTGGATACATTCCCATTCCTACCGTTTGATTTTCTTGTCAGCAATTGGTCGGCTGGTTCCGTGCAGTTTGGGCGATTCAAAAACAGCGTACAGCCTTTCTGTCGCCTCCACCGCTCGGCAGAGAGCTTCTCATCAATATAGATATATAAATATATGATTTGTTTTTGTTACAAAACACACAATTAACTTAGAATGTGATTATTGTTAATTTTATTTATTTATTTTTTTAAATAAAAATTAAAAACACTGGGGAAAACTGGGAGGGTGGCGCCCTATCGCCCTCTACTGGCCAGCCGCCACTGCTGTCTTAATATCAAAATAAAAGCAGCGTTACCTTAAACAAAAATGAACAATCATGAACAAGAGTCTGGTTCTAGAACTGCAGAAAGAGAGAAGAAATGAAAAACAAAAACAAAAGAAAATAAAGGGGGCACAACAACAATACAACAAGATCAAGCTATCACTGCGTCAACTTGAAGAAATATATCATCAACATTGCTTAACTGAACAATCACACGATAATAAATCACAGTGCATTTAGTGGCAACGACAGCCTTAAGACGTGTTGAACGTGCCCAAGTCCATACTTATGAGAGCACCATGTGAGCACCTGTGTGTGTACACGCGCTTGTTTATGTAAGGTTTCTCTATAGGAGCGTCCAATAGAGTGTGAGGGGCCACACATCTGCCCCCTAAAGATCTGCAGGAGATGGAGGGAGCTCCAAGTCCCAGAGATCCAGGAGCTGCGCCAGAGCACAGGAATCCCAGGGAGACTGCGACCAGAAAAGCCCCCGCCCCCCTCGAGAGGCGCAGAGGATCGCCCCGGGGGGGCCACAACCAGCAGCCAAAAGAGTCCCGGGAGATATCGACGGCAAGCCCACAGGCTCGCCCGCAGCCTCCCACCCTCTAGCCGGCTGAGCCGGGACCCAGGGGCGACCACCCCCACCGTGGACCCAGCAGAGCCCAGGGACCCAGACCCCACCAGGCAGCCACCGGATGGGTCAGGCAGATGCCAAAAATCTTAAACTCCCTGACCTGGGAGCCACAACCCAGGCAGACCAAGGCGCCGCACTCCACACCAGGCGTGGCAGGGGGAGGGGAGACAAAGATCTAATCCAGATGAAAGGTGAAACATCTACAAAAGTGTTAAAGCTCATAAACCCAAATGTCATTGTTAGTATTTTAAGATAAAAGACGTAAAATATTCACAACAAACTATTTTGATATTGAATCTTTTGGGTGTCAGAATAAAGTTTTTGCCATTGAGCATGACAGAAGATGACACACAACACAAACCTCACAAGTTAATTTGTGATAATAATAAACGAAAACAGGAGCTTTTATCAACAAAAGTGTTATATTTAAATGAGTTAACGTTAACAGTTCCCACCCGAAGTCTCTCAGCTCTACTTGGCAGCATGTTGCCTTGGAGCTGTTTCAGTGGATCTGAGTTAAACGCATCCTGGGAACCGCAGAGCAACACAAGAGGAGTGTTATCAGACACGTCAGGATTTCTTTGGGACTTTTGGAGCTAATCTGCCTCCAAACTCCAAAACTGTGAGCTAAACAGACCCTGTGCTGCATGAACCCTCTGGAGGCAGGCGTTGCAGATGTGCTACGTTAAAACCTACCTACCTGGTTACTCCATGTACGTATTACATGAGCATTTTTTAACTCAGAAGTACCCCTGAAGGACTTAGTTGTTTGTCCTTTTATCTAAACTTATTTAGAGCCCGGGAGGGTTAATGTGGGATGCACATGAAACACCTCTCTCTTGTGGCTTCACAGAGTACTACAGTACCCACAGCAGCAAACTTTGTCTTCATTTTAAAATAAAAAAATTAAAGCAGAAAAATACATTTAAAAAAAAGAAAAAGAGACACTTTGGGAATCATTTTAGTTTTATTGAAACGTTTGAGTTTGTTATTAATCCAAGTTATTGTGTTTGAATCTAAACTATAAAAAACAAATTGGTTAATTTAATTACCTCTCATAATCAACAAATAAAATAATAAAAGTCTCTAAATAACATTTTAATGCAAACATTTATCCTAATTTGAAAATATTCTCAAACTTTGACCATTTAAATGATTTTATTTGTTTCTATAATGATGATTTTAGTCGTTTTTTTTTTCCTGTTCTGTAGATTTGATCTTTCTCCTCTTCTCCACTTCCTTCTATAAGTGTCATAAATTCTTATGTTTGTTAATAAATCAGATTTATTTTCCACTAACACAAAATTTTACACTTCAATTTGTGAAAACATCTCTTTAGTGGTTTTTTTTATACTAAAATGTGTTTTTTGTTGTTGTTTTTGTTTATTGTATGACATTTTGCATTCTAGCCAAGAGTTACACTATTTTAGCTGGATTTCCTAAACATTTAATGATAAACTAATGTTGACTAAATCAAAGATGGAATCAATTTAATAGAGTTTATTAGAAGTTTAATTTCTTGATTAATCAAAATAAACACGTTTAAATCTGTGTCATTGGAAAGAATTAGCAGCTGCACAAATCTGGCTGTTTTAGATCTACGGTGCGTTAACGGCTTTGTCACTCATCCTTTTGGTGTTTTTCTACTTGTTTGGGTGTGTTTGAACCGACGTGTCCAAATGTATTTTACAAGAAAAACCTCAGAATGAATGAATGATGAGAAAACTTCTAAAATAACAAAAATCACATTTTATTTCCATATTCTCAATGATTTATAAACTATAAAAAAACACAGTTTTCTTGCAGCACAGACGTAAAAACACACGTAACAACCCCACCACCCTCCTCCTCTTCCTCAGCCACGCGATAATAAGTACTATTAGAGGCCATCTGTTCTCCACATGGGTGTTGATGGTGCAATCAAAGGTGTTAATGATGACTCACATTTGGTAGGAAAGGACAAACAGGTGGAGAAAAGTGGGAAAACACACAGCAACACGTCAAAACACAGAGAAGCTCAAAGATCACTTAAAGGTTTGCATTTGTTGGTTGATTCATCCTAAAAACCTACAATTCACAAAGTTCCACGTGAATTTGCAGCAAAATGATAAATATTATCAGCTGACCTCTGATGTGATCCCTTTACAGCCAAGATGAGGACATAATAAATAACCTGCGCTTTTATTTTGAAATCTGCAACAGACTCCAATTTATCATCATGCTAATGATTGTGTCTGCTGTCAGCGATTAGACTGATGAACCATCTTTCGGCTTTATTTGGCTCAAAAAGGAAACTTCATGGAAAAGAAACGCATGAATTCAAGAAATAAATTTAACTTTTCAACTATTTTGAACAAAAACATAAAAATAACCAACAATCAAAACAAAGGAGTGTCAAAATTTGTTTAAATATAATCATTTATGAATAATTCAGCACTGCATCAAATATGTTCAGTGGAGCGTTAAAGCATGTGGGGAATAAACAGGCCTTATTTTACATATTTACAGTCTCATGTACAGTATTTAACGATGGTTGTTGCGTCGCATGAAAGCTGCTTCCCGTGGTTTGGTTGCAAGCGCAGCTGGCGTCTGATGACATCAGAGCGAGGGCCCTGCTTCACAGGACGTGGTACACGGGCCTGGTTCCGGGGCTCTCGGGTGTGCGCGGCTGAGAGTCGGAGCTGCCGGGGGAGAAGGTGGCCATGTCTCTCAGGGCAGAAGGTCCACAGCTGGACTCCACCGTGGACAGGCGGTCCACGATGCTGGACAGGCACTCCAAGCTGGAGGTGCCCATTGGTTTGTCATCCAAACTCTCTGAAACATGAAAATGAGACATTCACATCACTTTTTAGGGATAGTTTTAGCTCTCAAGCATCTTAATTGACTAAAAATGAAGAAAAAGCTGCAAATTTGTAAAATTTCTCTCTTCTAAATCTGGTTTCTGTGTGACCTCCAGAGGAAAACAGACACAGAATATTTCACCGACACGTTCACATCAGAGGCTCTCACCGTTCTTCCCATAGGAATAGCTGTGTGTGTAGTTTGCATTCAGCTGCTGCCACACAGGACTGTTGCCTCCAGCCTGTAAGAACACGAGAGATCAAATTTACCCTCGCACCGCTGCAACTTACAAAAACACACCAACAGAACACGTTAACGCAAACATCAAACGGACCGAGGCAGGAAAAAGTACTACAAAACGAGTCTTCGTGTCAGTCAGGACAGGCCAATAAATCCCAAATTCCAAAGTTATTGGCTTCTTTATTTCACATCCATCTTAAAGTCAAAGTGGCGGTGCACGCTCCCCGCTCCTCCAAACCCCCCCTTCCCGGCCGAATCCTAGCGTGGCGAATCGATTGTATCAGTGGAAGCAACACCAGTTTGTGCAAGATGACACTTTCTCTGAGTAAATCTGCAGAAAATCCTGGCAGCGGTGCCGAGCATGCAGTCGGGATGGAATGCAGAAAAGCGCCCGGGTTTTTCAGTGAGGTGGATTTAGTTTGGTTTATTGGTGCGATGCAGCGTTCAGTGGTGGGAAGGCTGAATTATGTTACTCTGTTGTCTGAGATACGGTCAAAGACGAACCATCAAACAGGAAGTACGGAACAAAATCAGACTAAAAACTCTCCAGGCTGCAGATCAGATGATTGTTTACAGGATTATGCACAGCTCTGCTGGCAGGAAGCACTCCCGCCCTCTTTAACTGATGAAGTCTTGGGTTCACAGGCGTATCTAGCAGCTGTGGGCTTCAGCTCAACCAGATGTTTGCTTAGAGAGTTTGAACATGAGGATTAGAGGTCTTACCATGCCATCAGAGCAGCTGGACAGCGGGCTCCCCGGCTCAGAGCTGCTCTCTCCGGGTAGGCCGTAAAAGTTCTCCACCTGTTCTCGCAGAAGATCCTGCAGGCTCTCGATGTACTGGATGGCGTTGCGCAGGATCTCCACCTTGGGCAGGCGCTGGCTGGGGTTGGCCGAGGTGCAGCGCCTCAAGGCCTCAAAGGCATGGTTGACTTTCTTCAGCCGCCGACGCTCGCGCATGGTGGCGGCCCGCCTGCGGTCCACAAAACTGGACTTGCGCTTGCAGGCCTTGCAAGCCCACTGGAGGCAATGTCCGGGCTGATGGGGGGCTCCAGGAACTCGGACGTGCTCGTCTTCCTCAGAGCCGGCGAGCTCCATGGTGGGACCAAACTCCAGGCTGTCTGGAGACGAAGCGCACGCTCTGTCAAAGTAGACCTGCGATGGCGAGAAGACGTCCATGGCTTGGTGAAGAAGTGAGTCTGAACGGACGAGCACAAAGGAAGGAAGGAGGGTAAAGGTGCTGGGTGAAAGAGAGGAGACCTCTGAGTGATATGAGGGGTCTGTTGCCCCAGGCCCCCCTTATATGCCCCCTGGCTAAAGCCCAGGGCCTACATTGGCCGGATCTAATTACCATGGCCCATTGGCCCAGCCAGAAGGCAGGCTGGAGTTAGATCAGCTCCCTCCCTGCCCCATCCCTACCCCCCCAGTACCCTGCAGAGTTTCTCACATCTGCACTTACTGGCGTTTTCCAACTCATCCCCATTTTCTCCGGCCCTTCTCTGGCGAGGTCACAGTGAATGTTTCAGGAGTTTGTGGTCAAGGGGTTAAAAAAGAACCAGAGTCTTGTGTTTTTGCCTGTTGCATCTGTAAGCGGCCGGGTTTTGGGCCCCCACCACTGAGATGACACTTTGTTATGGAGACATAATTACAACAGAGAGTGCAATTTGTTCAAACTGAGCAGAAAAGCAGACCGGCCCCTCGCAGGAGCATGCAGGCCAATTTTTACGGTGGAGACAACAGCGTTGCAGATGCGGCCCAGCTGCAAAGGAAGGTGTAACATTTCAAGCCCCGCAAATTCACAGGACGGCGGCAAGCCCCCTCTGAACGGCCACGCTTGTCATCTGAGAGGTGATCCGTGTTTGCTGAAGCTCATGAAAGCAGCAATCACACAAATGTCAGGGCGGCTCGTCCGACCTCGAACCAAACTTTAACCGTCGCCGACACAAGCCAGGCACCGACAGACCACGGTGACCCTCGTGGACGAGGAGGGATCCGAGGGGCTTCCAGAGGGCAAACTAACAAAAACACAAACAAAACTAGATTCATCATGTTTTTTTTATTTGATTTTACATCGAGACATTTTAGTTTTTAATTCTGCTGACTGAAATATTTAAAAAACATTTGACATAAAGCTGAAGATAATGTATATTTTTAAAGAGCACCACGTACAGAATATTTGTTCAAAAACACAACTCGTCTATATTTTTATTTATTTATTTTTATTGCTCGTGAATACACATTTTACCTTCCGTTAGACGATTTAGCCCCTAAAAGTTTATTTTTAAGCGAGTGTTTTTTTTTGCACATTTGCATTTTTAATGCAAAATAAACTTATCATTGTACTAAAATGTTTTTATAAACACCTTCCATTAAACAAAAACCAGGATTGTGGACTATTTACAAAATGAGGTGGAATTAAACGTATTTTTACATTCCTGCAGGTAATCGTGTTGCTGACAGCTCACAAGGATACAATGCGGATATTTTCTCACAATGTGTCAGAACGTTTGGCGCAGCCCCTTCTCCCTGCATGGGAACGTTGCGCACCTAAGAAAACACCAGAAGCGGCAGCGACTGCGTCCGCACAACTCTGCGGACTTTGGCTGCAGGCACAGCTGAAGAAGACATCGGCGGCTCGTTTCCGCTGAGAGGATCAAAGGCTGCGAAGCACGTCTTCAATGAGAAAACCTGCCATCAACCGGGAGTTGATTGGTCCTGATTGGCGCAGCACATGGCGCATAATCCTGCTTGTAGTGGCGCAATGAGTGCGCACAGAGCCGATGATGTGATCCGTGTCCCGGGCTGGTCTCTTGGGAACTCTCTGAGGTTGCTTTTCTGTTGTTCTCAAGGGTCAAAGGCAGAGTTAAGTGAGGGGCAGGAGGTGAGCTTTTATGCCCCTCAGGTCTGAAAACCTTATTTCTTCTAAATGGCCTCAAAATGCTGCCACTTCCCAGTCCCTTAGTCTGCTCTCCCGACAGAATCAAATCGTGCAATCATTTATGTGACCAAAAAAATGTGTTTTCTGCACAAATGCATCTACATAAAGGCCCCAAAAGAAGCTGTTTCTCAGTCTGATCTTGCATAAAAACTGCTCCCTCAACTAAATAAAATCATGAAATAAATAAGTTTAGCTCTTTAAACTCAAATGGGGACAAATAATTTGAGTTTTCTGCACAAATGCATCAACAAAGAAGCTCTGAAGATGAAGGAACAATGCAGCCCCCTTCTCTCCGCCTAAAGTCCACTTTACTTTCCCCACAGGAATAAATGAGACAAAAAAGAAAGAAAAAAAAAACTTTTTTTTGAGTGGCAACACCATTTGTTTGGCACTGAGCAGGAAGGAGTGTGCTGCCAGCCCTCCAACTCTGCACGCTTCTCATGGCGGGATAACTGCAGGGAAATCTGGCTAACCCAGAGCGTTCATCGTCCAGGTTGATCCCCCTCGGATGGCGTTCCACCTTTCATCAGCTCTGACTTTTACACCGCCGGCTGGCCTCCCAGCCAATGGAGAGCCGTACGGTGTCATCGGCAACACTCAAACCCCTGCAAGGTCAGAAAAATGAAGGTCAGGACGCGGAGAAGTGAAGCTGCTTTCCTCTACAGAGAGAGTCTGAACGTGAAATAATCATAATACTAATCATATAATCAGATTTGGAACAAAGTCCATGCTGGGGTCAAGCAGCGTTGTGGATTTGTGTCACTGTGCATCTTCACTCTTAAAAAGCAGTGAAAACTACAACACTTTGAACAAGGCAGTTTTTTCTGCATCAAAGATTTTATAGTTGAATAATTTTAAACCGTCTCTGAGATCAGAGGAGCTCATTAAAGTCACATCAGTGTTTGGAGTGATCAGGCCCCTGTTTGGATTCTGGCAGAAATATAATGCATTTGGGTTTATCGTAATGAAAGGACTGTATGTGTATTTCTTTTTATGAAAATGTAATGACGACTCCAGGGAGAATGGTTCGTGTTCAAGGATTTCTGCTTTTATTACAGTTATTTTTTAATTAGCAACAACATTTAATGCTGAAGAGCAGTTGAGCAGAAGGCTATGGTGGCCCTAGGGTTCAAATTACGTTAAAAAACATACTTAAAAGCAAAAGAAAATATATGTTTACCCCTTAAAGCCTGAAATATGAAACAAGAATCTAGATGTTTTTTAAACTAAATTCCTTAGTTCTTATTTTATTGTGACATTTATTTTAAAACAACATGACAGGAAATGACAAAAAACAGAATTGGACGTTGCTAACAGCAGATCCTCCACCAGAGGGCAGCAGACCTGCATAGGGCTGATGTGGTGGAAGGTACTAATCTTGATACTACATGCTTTAGGTTCAGGAGTGGTCTGCTGTAGCCTGGCCTCCAGACTCCTCCTCTGTTTAATTCTGCACAGAGAAAGGGTCTGGGAGCTCTCCCATTCAAATGACCCCACCCCCTGAGAATTCTAACTGAGCCAATCAGCGCTGAGTAGCGTACGTCACACACCGCAACGCCGAGTTTGCCATAAACATGGCGACTGAAGCGGCGTTCGCTGCGGCTCTTTCCGCTGTTCTAAACGATTTGAATGTCTTCAAAACTACAACAAGTAGAAGTGCCAAAAGCATTTCTTCTTTAAAAAAATGATGTTTGCACCGTCGCCAGATGCAATTTTTGTCTACAGCTAAAAAAAACGACAGCGTCGCACGAGTCGACATTTCCGTCTTTTTACTGATTGGTTATTTTTGAGCTGCCTAGTCCCGCCCCTCATGTGCCTCTCTGCCTGTGACTCTTTCTCTGTGCAGAATTAAACTGAGGATGAGTCTGGCAGGCCAGGACTGCTGAGGATTTGAGACAAAAGGGGTCAAAAATGCATCTTCTGACAATAACGCCAGTGGCGTGTCTAGATCTATTAAAATGGGGTGGCCCAGGTGAGGCACAACTTTGTGCATGGGTGGCACCAAAGGTTATGTTTTTTTGTTTTACCCCCAAGCCTTTTGTGGGCAATGAAAAGCCTATTTAAAGGTAAATTAATGTGTTGGCACCTGGGATGGCCAATCAGATTCCAAGGGTGGCATGTGCCACCCCAGGCCACTCCCTGGACACGCCCTTGAATAACGCAAATTCACTTCAGTTATATTATTTATTTAAATTACACAATCCAGACAAAAAACCTTAGAAAAGATTTTATTTTTATAAAACACCACGACAAAATACTTGACTTTGCAGAACACATAATTACATTTTAGAAAGTGTTTTCTTTTCTGCGTTAGGTTTTCTTCTTTCTTGTGTTTACACTCATTTTAATAATCGGGTTTATTGCACAACGACACAAAAAAAATCCACTCAATTTGGAGAGAAAAATAAAAAAAGACAAGCCTAACCTGTGAAAAGGCTCTTCCGACATCCTCGACCAGTTATACTCAACACATCAAATTGCCAGAGGAGGGATGGAGCTTCAGGCTTAGATACACTTCGCTCTAATTTCCTGCTTTTTTCTGATGAAATGTAAATGCCACAAAAAGTACTTTTGCTATTATTGGTCAAATAAGTCGGTGTGAGGTGTTTTGTGTACTTAATGTGTTTAGAAGATGCTTCCTGCAGGTCAAGCAGAGCTTTGTGACATCTGCGGGGGTCAAAGCGAGCCACGTCCACCTCCACATCGTGCACCCCCACCTTCACTTCCATGCATGACAAACGAGGCTCCGTGGATTTCCAGGCTGCTGGCGTTGAGCCATACTTTTAATGTGAAAGCCTTTGCCATGTGACGAAGATGCGAGTGACGACGAATCAAGACCTAATGGCTTAAATAACTTTGTAAACCCGCTGGGGTTTGCACCCGTGCTCGCATCCCAAGTTTCCGTGTTCTCAACATGTGATATGGGGAGGAGTGTGGAGGCACTCTGTGTTTGGAGGAGACTCGGATTACTGCTGTGGGCTCAGGCCTGCTGGTGAACAAAGACAAGCACGTTGGCAGCAGACTGCTCCGCACCAGTTCAGACCACTTTTATGGACGTCTAATAGGCATGAACGCTGGTGGAAGTGGTCGATCTCTCATTGAAGTCTATTTTTCTTTTCAGGAAACATTCGGGGAAAAGCTGCAAACAGCAAAATCAACTCAAAAGTCTGGTTTTTCAAAATAAAACTTCTGCTTCAGCTGCGGTGGAATGAATGAGAATGACAGCATGAGTGTGAACTTGAAAAACACAGAAACAACAATCCTACAAGGGAGTGTTTTATTCACTTGGTCATATGTACAAATATTTAAATAAAACGTCAGTTTGCTCCAAAAGCTCGTCAGCCATTGAACACATAATAAATACCCTTCTTTTCAATATAAAATATTTACAAATGCATTGCTTCCCCTGTACAAACGAGGACTCCAGAATGCTTGAAAAACAGAAAACATTTTGAGGAAAAGCAATGGAAACTCTAAATCTAATCCTTTAGATTAAACTTCAGTTTTCGGAGACGTCTGCAGAGAACTTGACTTTCTCATCGTTTGTGATGCTGTCCACAATGGAGGACAGATGCAGGAGGCTGGACGACGCTGACGACTCGCTGGGTCCTGGAAGCAACGAGAACTGGGCTCATTTTTCATTCTTTATCAACATCGAAAAGATCCTAAACTGGGCTAGTAACTTTAACGGAAAGCTATTATGACTTCTACGGTCGATCCTAAGCGTGTATCTGAAGTTCTTTACAGAAAATCCCCCTTAAAAAAATACATTTTTAGTACCTTCCAGAATGAGCCATTTCAGGACTCTGTAATTTTAGGTAAAATAGGCTGTTGCTGGCCACACCCACCCATCCCCTGATTGGCTACTACAAGCTGAGGAGCTCTATATTGGTAGAGCCATTGCTCCAACATCAGCAGCTGCTCTCCTCCTGGTGCAGGTGGTTTTATGCTAACTCCCCAGGTTGTGACATCACAAATGAGGACTTTTTGAAACAGCTTATTTAGTCACACGATTCCTAAAACCAAACACTGACAGAAAACAAATGGATGGTTTTTTTTTTAGGTTTGCAGTGTTTACAGAGGCAGCAGGGTTAACAATGGCAGCACACAAGGATACTGAGGTTGTTTGGTACTGAACTTGGTATCTGCTGGTGCAGAGACACTGACCCTGACACTATTGTAAGGAGTGAGATGCTTCTCCTCAACCATGATCCCTATCAACCTGATGGTGGTATCAGGGTGAAGGCTCACATAAAGGCCCTTACATGACTCTTGGACACATGCATCCGTTTATTTTCAGCTGCTTCTACAAGGTCACATTGTGGTGGCAGCAGGTCCAAGAGGGAAACTCAAACATCCTTCTCACTCATCTCTTCCTGGGACGTTCCCACAATGTTGCCAAGCCAGAGAGGAAATATAATTCTTCCAATGTGTTCCGGATCCCTTCCTACACGGGTTAGGGTTAGTAACTGGGAAACCTCTAAAGACAGGCAGAGGGAGATTCCTAATCAGATACACAAACCACCTCAGCTAACACCTTTTGATGAGGAGCAGCAGCTATTACGGCTGAAGCCCTTCAGCTGCTCCTGTCTAGGACTTCCATCCGTAAGGGAACGCTCAGAAACTAGAGCAAACATCAGCAACTTACGGATAAAAGACATTTTAAATATTGTTCTAATGGACAACAGTGCTGAAAACCTACTGAGTGATCTCTAGTGGCAGCAAAGTGACATCAGACTTCATGAGTGAAGTTCAAACACACGCAGCGTGTGGTGAAACATCGGGGACTTTCCTGCACCTCTGAGAGCAGATGTGAGAAAAGTCAGCGGAGGAATCCCGCTTGTGCTCCCAGATGGAGACAGTGGTCAGCTCTGTGGTGGCTGACGCGGATTAGAACGTTCACAGTTCCAGATGTTGCTATTTAATTTGGTAATCGTAGATTAGGAAGGATTAGGAACAGGTGTACCTTCTCTCTGGTTCATTGCTGCACTGGAATGATCAGCGGAGGCTCGCCAGCTCTCAGAGGACTTCTTCCACTGATACTCATCATTGGCCACCTGTTGAAACAAAAACACGTGTTATTCATGCATTTTTGATGCTTTTATTAAATGCAACGGCACACAAGTCTAACTCTCGGGCATCTGAGATATCGAGTAACACACTCAAAAAGCAAAGAAAATGGTTTATTGGTCTAGCAGGACATCATGTGTTATTATCAGAAGTGTAGTCCAAGAAAAGGTTCGGATGTCATTGGAAAGTCCTTCAGGTCCAACTTGAGTCCAAGTTCATTCAGGAAGGAGGGTTTTCTAAAGGATTTCTTTTGGCTTACGTTGAGTTCTTTGGTGTTAAAGGAAGACCGGTTTTGAATTTTCTCCTGCTCATCCAATGTCTGCAGCAGGTCCTGTAGCCTCTCAATGTAGTTAATGGCGCTGCGTAAGATCTCCACCTTGGGTAGTCTCTGGTTAGGATTAGCCACAGTCTTCCTCTTCAGCGCATCAAAGGCCTCGTTGATCTTCTTGAGCCTTCTCCTCTCCCGGAGCGTCGCGGCCTTGCGTCTGTCTGTCGGCGCCGACTTTCTCTTACAGATCTTACAGGCCCACATGAGGCACTGGCCCTCGCAGTGCGACTGAAGACCCGGGGGGGCGAGCACATGCTCCTCTCCGCTGCTTTCCCCTCCTGTCTCGGACGGGACATTCTCCTGGCCATGAGACAACGGGCTGTCGTTGTCGTTGTACAGAGGAGACTCCCCCGCCATGTCCATGTGCTGTAGCGGTCCATGATCCCCGTCCTCCAAATAGCGTAAATCACCGAAAAGATAGGTGCTGGTCTCAAAAAGGTCCATCATATTGTGGCGTCCTTCTCTCTGTTTTGATGGTGGAACTCTGGCATTTAAATAGAGCAGCAGGGACACGGTCAACAGGCTTATATATAGAACATGAAACTCTACCCAACGCTGGCTGTCACACTGCAACAAGCGTCTTCCTTTTGAATGGGTCTTAACTGCATTCTGACTTTGTGTTGGGAATAAATACACATGGAGGCATTCAGGAGTTATTAAAGAGTCACCTCGAGTTACACAACAGCTGCCGGACGAAATGGCTCCATTGTGATATTTGTCCATTTTTAAAGATCAACTATACTAATACACTTGTAGCGGTCTCTAGTAGGAATGAATGCCTTGTGAGTCGTATTCGGGGAGAAAAGCTCCAGTTTCAGGAAGTAGAAATGAGCCACATTAGAGCTGAGCTGAACACAGCAGGATTTGGAGTTTTGTTTCCTGATAGTCGGACATATAGCCATCTTTCTTCGCAGCGCTGATATTTTACTTCTACAAATAAAACAAGCCTGGAGGATTACTGCTTTGGGGTGGAGTTGCTAATGCTAACAGTTAGCTTGTGCTAGCCGAAATGTTCTCTGCTGTTTCCAGGAGACTAAATCAACAACAGTCTTTCCCGTCTTGAGCCAAGATGGGGGAGACAGTGTGACGTAGATCTGTCAGGCTTTTCTAATCCTAGAGTTTCATCAGAAGCTAAAGTAGGAGACAGGTGTAGGAGACTGTTGTCATGTTCAGCGTGATGATAATCAGAAGTAATAAATGTGAAGTTGGCTTTGAAGGGTAAAACCAAAAGTTTTGCCTTGAAGCAACGGTGAGGTTGCCAGGTTAGCATAAATATGGAGTTTCTTGCATTGTCCGTGTGTGTGTGTGTGTGTGTGTGTGTGTATATATATATATATATATATATATATATATATATATATATATATATATATATATATGTATATATATATATATATATAATGTATATAAACATATATATACATATATATATGTTTATATACATTATATATATATATATATATATATAATGTATATAAACATATATATACATATATATATATATTACATACATATATATATATATATATATATATATATATATATATATATATATACATACACATATATACATGATATATATATGTATGTATATGTTTATATATTACATGTATAAACATATATATATATATATATATATATATATATATACATACACATATATACATGATATATATATATATATGTTTATATATTACATGTATAAACATATATATATATATATATATATATATATATATATATATATATGTATGTATGTATGTATGTATGTGTGTGTGTGTGTGTGTGTGTGTGTGTGTACAATATATCTATTGGTATATACAACAATATTTAAAATGTCTTCTATCAGTAAGTTATTGATGTTTGTTCTATTTTCTAAACGTTCACATATTATACATATACATGATATATACATATACACACAATGTGCACATAGTATTTAAATGTTTATTTAAATATGTTATTATTAAACCTTTCACAAATAAATGGGAAACAAGCAAATCGGCCCTTTCACGCTGCAGAAACATTTTCAGACATCCTCTGAAAGTTGAGAGAATTAGAGTCGTCAACAGTCTGGCTAATTAACGTAGTCTGGTTCACTAGAGTATTTCATATATGTTTCACAACCAGTGACAATTGCATATCCAAATGTGACTTCCCAACATAAATAGCCTGGAATGTGCAGAGTCATAACAGCTTAGAGAAATGTATGCATGCAACATTATAAATAGACACTCGTCTCATTCATTTCAGATTCAGTAAAGAGATAAAAGCCTGTGAGGAGGTGATGGATAGCCCGTGGCATTTCTGCCGCAACCTGAAAGAGCCACAGTTGGAAACTTCCCAGGCAGGAATGTCGGGGATTCCTATTTTTGTTTGGCTCCATGACCTTGTGAAATGAAATTAAACGAGATCAGGCCGCAGCTCTGGTGAGAGACAAGCTGCTTGCTGCACAAATCCTGATCACTGGAAGTTGTTTTTCTGGGAGACGAACACACACACAGTTAGATCCTCAGTGGGAGAAACACTCAGAGCTTCGGTTGTGTGTTGCTCAAGCGCTTCTAATTATTGTTGTTGTGATAACCTGAGACTAGATAGGGCCTTTCGTCACTGGATGTCTGAGATGCTTCAAAACAGCACAGTGGATTTAACAAAGCAACAAACAAACAAACAAACAAACAAGCGTTTGGACAAGTTCGAGTTTTTTGTTGGTCCTAAATGAGCAAGAAGGAATATGCATTCGTTTTTTTAAATCTGTTCTTGTTTCACGCAATTTAAACCTAAAAATATCATATTTCAAGTTTATTTGACCAGATAAAAATAATACAAATGCAAAATCTTCCACTTTTAATGAATTATTCAGCTGAAAATGTCAAATATATATTAAAATTGTTTATTTACAAAAACAGAATGGATCACAGATTTCACCTCAAGCACATAACATAAATGTCTAAAAAGGTAACACTTTACTATAAGGGTCCTTTTATTAACATTACTTAGTGCATTATTGAGCATTAATAAATGTTTATATAAAGTATTAGCAACTGCTTAACCATTTTATGTAACGTATTTCAACTTTAAAGGTGTGGAACACAGAAAAACAATCATTTTGTTATTATTTCTGATTCTAATGGGTCACTCTGAGTTTTCATGCGGGCTGAACATGAAAATAGTCTCCTACACCTATCTCCTGCATTAGCTTCTGGTGAAACATAGCGTTGGAAAATCCTGACAGACCTGCGTCACACTGTCACTTAACATTCATGGACTCACCCACTCTCTAGGAAACATCAGCGATTGTCTTGACTAGTAGAAGCTAGCCGTTAGCATTAGCAACTTCACCACATGGCAAAACTCCTCCAGGTTTGTGTTATTTATGGAGATAAAACATCAGTGTTGCAGAGCAAACCGAGTCAGTGGTAGAGTTGCGTTGCTGTTATCCAATCAGAGGTGAGATGTCCAAATATCAGGAAATAAGACTCTAAATCCAGCCATCTGAAGCTCAGCAGGGATGTGGGTCACTGCTACTTCCTGCAAATGCTACACCAGAGGCCCCCCACCAAAAAAAAAACAACTTACAAGGCACTAATTCCTACTAGCAACCACTTCAAATGAACTAATAAAGGACACCTTTAAGGGCATCTTTAGGGAAACTTTAAGGTACACTAATGTTTCTGAATCCTCTCCATGTTGCGCAACACTCTCCCAGCGCCTGTTTACAAGTAGCCGTAATGTGTAATACGGCTCTAAAAATAGCATGCAGAACGTTAGCTTAACTCTCGAGCAGAAAGCCGGCAACAGCGGCTTCTGTGGAGAGCAGACTGGACCGCGTTAGCCTCTTCCTGATTTCCATCAGGGTGCGGGGGTGCACAGAGTAGGCATGCGCAGGAAGTGAAAACTAACCAGTGTTGGGCAAGTGACTTCAAAACTGTAATGCATTATTTATTACTTGTTACCCTCATTTTAAAGTAATTCATTACATTACAATAGTACTGATTTTAAAATGTAAGGCACTTTTGCATTACTTTAAGTTACTTTCACCAAAACAACTTCAATATGAATCTGGTCATGTGACGCTCAGTGAGCTCATGACATATATGTGGAAGGTGATGTGGTGTCTGAGCTAGGATTGCTGTTAAAAACAGTCAGATATAATAACAGTGCTTTAAAATGACTGTTTATTAAATAAAAGCAGCAACAAACTGTACTCTCAACACGCTGCCATCTTATATTAACTGAGCAGGGGGTGAGGTGGTGGGGGCTCCAAGCCTTTATTTGCCTTGGTCCCCAAACGCCTTGATACGGCCCTGGATGTGGGACTGACTTCTGGGGTGATCTGATTCTATCACATGTATAAATATTAAATGCTTATATATTATTGCTTTTCACTGGTAAACATGTGTATTGGGGATAAATCTACCTACTTTTTTTCTTTTTTTTCTTTATTTTATTTGAATAATTTCCTGCCCTTTCTCTCTCTAACCTTCCTGCATGCTGCATGTTTTCTCCATCTTACAGAAAAAACTGTTTCCTAAATTTCCCACTTCATGACTAATCAGCCAAAGGGATCTACCGAACGCAAAAAAAAAAAAAAATTAAATTAAATTAAAAAAAAGCTGAATATGCGCTGCACTCCAGCAGCAATGAGTTGAAATCACCGGGGCACGGATTATGAACTCAGCATGAAGTACAGCATGGTACATGAAGTACCAGAGAATATGGGCTGATATGAACGATCGCAAACGAATGACTTTGTTTTGGTGGAGGGATTTTGTGAATATAACAGCGGCTGCGCGCAGGATGCAGCTGGAGTATTTGAGCCATTACCACTGCGTCCTCTCTGCTCATAGAATGCCCGCAGAGTCCATAAATGACGTCATATATGTGGATACTGGATCTTTTTTCAGGCTTCCCGCAATTTGAATTTTTAGGAAACCCACATCTTGATTCTGGGTTTAAAAATGCATTTTAATTACTGCGTTACTGACACCTGTACAGAGTAAATATTACCATTTTCTTTCCCTGTAATGCCTTACATCATGGATGTAATTTTTTTGGGGGGGGGGACAGGGGGGACATGTCCCCCCCCCCCACTTTTTCCAAAGTCAAGTTTTGACCCCTGCACCTTTTACCATCCAAAAACATTACGCTATATTAAATTGACACTGGTTGAGCTCTAGGACCAAGCGGAAAACAACCGTTTGTGTTGAAGCCTGTTTCCCATTAGAGCATACTGTAAACACACCCCTCCCCCGTGTCCCCCCCACTTCTAAAGTGAAAATTACGTCCATGCCTTACATTACCACATTACAGCAAAAAGCAATGCATTACAGTAGTTAATTACTTTTGTACCGCGTTACTCCCAACACTGAAACTAACCCAGGATTGGCTTCACCAAAAATTGACATTTTTTGCGGACCAATGGTAGACGTGATCCACCTGGAAGAAAGACATTGATTGCTATATCTTTAATAATTAACAACAACGTGTCAATAAAGAGGCCCCC